GGTGTAATTAGGCCATTTTCCATAATTACCATTTCAACCCTTAGGTCCCATTTTCATCAGTTCCATTTCTCCATGCCACAACAAACCACCAAAATCATCACATTCATTAACCAAAGAACTCTCACAAATTACAAAATCAATCCTAGAAGAATTATCATCAACCTCCATAATTCTCCTATCACCCACAACAACATCAACAACATGAGAACCACTAGAAGCTACCATTGACATCATATTCCCGAAATCATCATCACATTCAACAATACAATTAGAATATCCACGAATAAAGAAAAACAAACAAAAATTACCTACACTCAACTCTTTGAACTTCGCACATATTTTCTCAACAACTTCATGATAACTACATCCCTTACTAATCTTAATAGAAACACAAGACTTACTGTATTTGCACATTAACATGAAACACCCCTCCATATTACAAATCACAAACCAACAAACAATTGATCACAGAGCCCAAATTGCAAAATTATACAGTTACAACATATCAATATCAAAACTTCAGAATTCACAATTTCAAACTACAAATTCAAAACACATTACACTATACAACAAACAAAATTAAAAAAAAAATCAAAATCATTACACTATATCACATACAAAAATCACAAAATAAGTATCAAATAAACAAAATTTATCACAAAACAGAGAACTATAACAAAATTGACGAACACGAACCAGAGATCACGCAAATTTGCTTATCTATATATATATATATATACATATATGTATAGAGAGAGAGAGAGGGCATACGCAGAGATCGCCTAAACACAAAGATTGAGATCGCACAAAGAGATCAACCTCACAGAAAGAGATCGAGTTCGCAGACAACCTCGCAGAGGCGAGATCCACAATCTAAAATTTGATTTTTCACGTATATATATATATATATATATCAAATCAAAGGGTAATATAGTCATTTAAAAAATAAGAAAATAAAAAAAGGGACCTCTGGGCACAAAACCTAAAAAACTGTGGAGCTGTTGATTTATAAAAAATATAATGAGATTAGAAGGGAAATAGATCTCCAACATAGAACTACATAATATGTTTTCCTATATTTTTCACATGATTATTGATGA